ATATACATATACATACACATACACATATATACATATATACATATATACATATATACATATATACATATATACATATATACATATATACATATATACATATATACATATATACATATATACATTTATACATTTATACATATATACATGTATACATGTATACATGTATGCATGTATACATGTATACATATATACATGTATACATACATACATACATACATACATACATGCATACATACATACATATATACATACATATAAACGTATAAACCTTTACATATATACATATCTGCATACACGCACATACTCATATGCGTGCGTGCCAATAGACATAGTTACACAAAAACATATGTGCATTGTTTACATATGTACGTATATACACGTTTGCATATGTTACATATATACAGACATATAAACATATTTACATATTTATGTACATATCCATTGTTGCCTCGCAGCTTTGGAGGTGGGAGACAAGAAAAACATGAATATATACATATATACATAATATGCATATGTACATAAATGCATGTATGCATATACACATATGTACGTATATACATAGACACATTGGTACATATATGCACACTGTACGTGTACATAAGTACATATAGACACATGTATCTTTATATACAAGTATACATATATATATATATGCATATGTATACACTCCGGGTTCGTGGAGAGACGACCCTTCACTTTCTGTTCATACAGATATTTTCAGCAGGGTTCGTAGAGAGGCGACCCTATCTTTTCCTTTCACTCCTTTCAACCCGGAGGTCGTAGAGAGACGACCTCATGGAAACTTTCACAGGTGACGTAGAGAGACGTCTGCCTGTACCAACCTCACCCTTCTTGGCACGTAAAGACGTCCAGGGATCACAAAACTTTTTGCCCTTTGCCGAAAGCCCAGTTCGGCACAGTGTCTAAGCTTCTCGTGGGGGGCACGAGAGAGAGAGAGAGAGAGAGAGAGAGAGAGAGAGAGCGAGCGAGAGACAAATAGGAGTGAATTGCAGAATCCGGAGGTCAGCTGGGACGCCAACATCAATTGCTATATTACCAGCTACGTGAGTGCCAGCCAGGCCATGTCAAGATGCGTGCAGTTTGAATGCATGGAGTGGGGTGTAGACTTCGCAACTGTCTCGGCTGTAATTCTTCAGGTGCTTCCCGAGAAGATCCCATACCACGAAGGGTACAGGCTGCGATTCTGCAGGCCGTCTGTGCGCGAAGAGCTGAAACCTGAGCTCATGCCTCCGCTCGCCCCGGAAGTGTACCTCAGCAAGAGTGTATGATGATGTATGATGATAGTGTGATGTGTATGTGCGTTGCTTCCGGAATCTTTGGCATGGAAGCGAAAGACTGTTTCTTTCTTGCAAGGTATGGCTATCGTGCACCTTGGATGCATAGGCTCATCACATGAGCGGATGCATGTAACGAGATCTACTGCCGAGAGTGCGTGTGCTGATGCGCCGAAAGGTTCTTCACGATGTGCCCGACCTCAAAGTGGGCCAGGGCTTGGAGCTCCAGTGGAAGATGCAGCAAGGCAGCCCTTTCGGCTGGTGGTTCGGCACTGTGGAGTCTGTTGTGCGGGACCCCAACAGCACGAAGGCAATCGTCACCATGACTTTTGATCACTTCCCGGCCACTTCCCGGTGGCGCCGTCTACAGATTACTGTAGGAGATGGTGCAACGCGGCCATGTGCCATAGGCGGCTGGCATGGCGGTGTGCGAGCAGTGAGCCCATCGGAGAAGAAGGAATGGGCAAAATTCTTTCCAAAGGAACCGGTGATTTTCTGAGTACAGATCTCAGGGTTGTCGAGGCAATGCCATCGCAATTTCTGATCACTGCAATTCCATCTTGCACGCAGGTGTTGCTGCTGGCTGGTCTGATCCAAGATCTTACCGAGCTGGCAAGCGGCAGCAGCTAAAGTTGTTTGTTCGTCTTTACCCTAAAATTTTCCATCCCAGATTTCATGGCCAGTGTTTGAAGTCTGGAGCTTGCAAGGTAAAACTTTGTATAGCATCCAAGACTCGCACGTTACGCCAGGCACGTTTGAAGTGCCACTTGTATAAAAACTCTCGACATCCAGTGCACAGCAAGCGGGGGTGATTGCATCGTTTGCGTTGTGAGGATTTGTAAGGCTCTTAGTGTTCTCGTGGGCTGCCCGTGTCTTGACGGGGTGACAGCAGCACGCACAATTAGATATACCTCCCAAATTTCGCCGTGATGCGCAACAAAGCATCAGCATTCGGCTTTCAAAAGCCCAGTTGGCTGCTCAAGTGTGATCACCGGCAGAACATGATGAGTCATTGGAAAGTATCGCTAGACGATACTGCTGGTACCTTGAAGCCGATTCTAGGTGATTCTGCTTCTTGCGGCCCTGTGGCTCCTTTCAGGCCTCAGCTTGGAAAAAAATAGACAACGGACGCGGTTCGACACAAAAGGGACGTGCACCTTCCAATAGATCACTGGGCGTGGAGCAAGGCTTACACGTAACTGCCGCCCTGCCTGCTTGTTGGGTGTTTTGCTCAGACCGGTTGGAGAACGGGGCCCCCGATGCGGTCTGTTAAGCATGCCCAAGTCTTACATGCCTGTAGGTCTCAGTTTCTGTTTCAACTGAAAGCTGCTCAAACATTGCCGCATAACCTTGAAGCCCTGTTTCTGCAAGGTCTGGCCGGCGTGGATATGGAAGCAAACTCCCTCCTGGAGGGCTGCCGCCTATCGTAAGGCTGGGGCGGTGTAGGCTGTCCGACTGAACTTGGGTTCGGGGTTCAATGCTTTCGGGCATTCAGGGAGATCTGCACTTCCCCCCTGTGTTGATCGCCTCTGGCGATTGCACAAGTCCAGGGCCCAGGCTCCGCACCCCAAAACCCTTCAGAAAAGCGCCCGAAACGGAGCACGGTTCCTTCGTCTCCGCATGTCGCCGTGGCTGTTGATTGCATTCCGCAGGGCTCCGGAAACTTTGCAAGGTGCCCAGTGCCCTGAATCCGTCTTCGGCTTGGGATCTGGCCTTGACTTCCGAGTTGGTCTGAGTCTCCGAGAACGGAGCTATAGGGTTTAGGGTTTAGGGGTTTAGGGTTTAGGGAGTTTGGAGGTATTTCCGGAGGTGTCATTTCGGACGGCCATCGCCGATTTCCTGCGAGTTTCACGGCCCAGGCTGGGGCAAAGTCCGCGGATTCAGAAGAAGAGTTGGAACGTTGGCCGGGTGCTCAACATGCCCTGCTGTTTCGTGGAAGAGGGACACTACCTGCATGCAAAGCGTGATGCCGAGGTCATGATGCAATGTCTGCTGCATCTGTCTGGCTGGACAACGTCGCGACCCAGGGGAAGCGCTCCGAGCTCGGTACAACTATCGGTGGGACGGGGCTCGGCAAAGCGATGTCAATCCAAGACCCAATGTTGAGCATGCCCTGATTCCTCGGCCTACAAGCAAATTTCGTAACGACTTGATGGATTCTTGCGCTCTTGGTGCCATAGGCATTGGGGACCGTGTCACCGACGAACCGGTCCTCTATAAAGGCGATGTGCCTGGGCCCAAGGCTGTATATTCACAGTCTCCACTGGTCCATAGGAAAGAAGAGTTGGACTCGTTTCGTCCTGCCTCGACTCTGACGAGTCATGAAGCTCCTTTGTGCAGCCGGTGCAGAGAAGACGCGCCTTCCATGGGAAGGTCAGGTATCCAAACCTGCAGGGGATAACGGTACTTGACACCCCCGCAACTGTACAGACTTTGCTGATGTCGGCGACGTCATTTTACAACAAACAAGAGCGAATTTAGCGACAACGACCGAAATCTGCGAAGTTAAATAGTGACTTACACTTCTCTGAAAGCACAACTTCAAAACCACAAGCTGCAATGCAGTGCTATCCCAGCACCTCCCAAAACAGCACGGTTTGGTAAGCCACGGCGAATCAGGAGCCTTCGCGACCTGAGAAAGTTTGACCTCCCAGTCAGGTGCCGTGGGTCAATGATTCATGATCAGTCTAAAGTGTGGAGGCATTTCCACATATCCAAATAGACATGTGGGAGTTTCAGAAAATTAGGGGTACCTTATTTCGGGGTCCTTATAATAGGGATCCTATTATTTAGGGTGCCATATTAGGGTCCCTATTTTCGGAAACCCCCATGTCGAGCCTGGAGGCGCCTCATTGCTTCGACTGGCGCTCTGACTGCCCGAGAGCTGCACAAAGCCAGTCGCACGGATGAGGTGACCGGCATTGCAGCAATTTCAGGGCCGAGGGGGAAGGGTTTACCCATGAAGTCGGGAGGCTTGAGCTCCTTCTGCACTGAGCTCTGCTCATGTTACAAGGCGAAGCTGATGTTGCAAATGCTCTCTCGCTCTCTCTCTCTCTCTGCTTCAGAGTGTAAGCATGGCTAAGAACTTACCGAAGCGTGAGTGCGCGACAACTAAAAGTGATGGGAAGGGAAGAAGCGAAGAAGGATCATTTACAAGCCCTTGGATGCTCCCTGGGCCGTTCAATGGTGACGGGTTCGTCAGCAACGGAATGCCGGACGAAAATCAGAAAAGCAGAGATCAATCCGGAAAGCCCAGCTTGTTCCAAGAGTGTGCATGGCACGCGGGTTTTTGCGGCACACCCCGGCTTTGCAGCACCCGCGTCGTAGAAAGTTAGAGAGAGAGAGAGAGAGAGAGAGAGAGAGCGATCGAGCGAGCGAGCGAGCGAGCGAGCGAGCGAGTGAGAGAGGACGAAAGAAAGGCAGTCGTGGTGGATAGAGCGCATGGTGGTTTTGCTGTGTACTGATCTCACCTCATCTTGTCGTTAGTAAGCGAACCGATGCCCGCTTAATGGCAGGGGAGTTCTTTATTGGCTCTGACGCCTGTGGATTGAAGAGAGAAACACACAAAACCAATCCGAAGCAGGAACTCAAGAGAACAGGAAGTACACACTGAACATGTTCTACTGAACATGTTCTACTGAACATGTTCTACTGAACAGCTTCTTTTGACCTCCCAAAATGCAGGAGCTGTTCCAGCCGCTCAATAAGGACAGGCTGCAGCATTCTCCATCCAAGCGGTTTTTGTTCATGGTTTATGTTGTTCGGATGTTCGTCTTTAGGATTATTTAGGTTATGTTAGGCCAACGAGATTTTTCATCTCTGCAGCCGGCCAGGTGACGTAACAGAGGTTGTTCGAGACCCCATTCGTGGCTCAAGCTTGTCGATGGTCCTAAGCAGCGGGTGCAACTCAATGTTGGGCAGAAGTAAAGACAGCGAGTGATGCTGCTGCATAGCGTGTCTGCCCGTTATGCTTTCCAAAGTGTGCCTTGAACTTGGAGGGGGCTTTTATTCGACATGTTACCAAGACGCTTTCCATCTTCGACAGCCAGTATAGGAGACTTAAGTCCTTTCTCAGCCGCTCCATAGGATGCCATGCTTGGTCGGAGGCTGGAGCCGGCATTGTCCTGAAAGTGCGGAGGTTCGAGCATGTGAAGGGCTCGCGTCCAGCAAGGGCAATGGACTCTTCGCCAAGCGGTCCCTTCTTGAGGATGAGTTGCTCTTCGAAGAGGATCCGGTTTGTGGCATGGCCATGCTGATGTTTGACGACACCTCGTCAGGGGGATTCTGTCAGCATTGCCTAGTGTTGCTGCCCGAAGATTCGGCGAAGGTGTCTTGTCCCCGGAAGTGCGGAGCACCATACTGCAGCCATGCGTGCCGCGATGCAGCGCATTGGGCTTACCACGATGTGCTGTGCCCTGCCGCCAACCCTAGATGGGCCGAATATGTGCAGCGAGCGCAGGAGTGCGGCAACGAATATTACGTATTGGCAGCTCGAGCACTCGCGAGCTTGCGGAACTGCGTCCCTGTCCTTGTTCCCCAGGGCGATGCATGGCAGCAGACGCCTTGGGTGGGATACGCAGCACCGCCCTGGTGGCAGACAATGAAGCGTCCAGTGTATGACACGGACGACGAGTCTGACACCGCCGCCAGCACCTCCGAGGATTTGGATTCGGAAGCCAATGCTTCCCTGGATCGTTTTTTCCAGTCGGCGGTGCGCACACAGACCTCCGAGATGGCGGAAGAGCTCTCGGCAGTTCTGTCGGGGTCGAGCGTGGCAATCACATCGTTGTTAGCTGGACCAGAGGCCCTGGGTCGACTGATGGGGCTTGTGAGGGTGAATTCTATGGCCGTCCAGGCACAGAGCTATGAAGGTTCTGAAGATGGACTGGCTAAGGGCATGGCCATCTACCCGGTCACGTCCGCCATGAACCACGATGTAGAGTCGAACTGCTATGTTGCAAGCAATCCGCTCGAGCCCCAGCGATGCTATGTGCGAACACGACGGCCGGTGGCTGCGGACGAGGAGCTGTGCATTGACTACTTAAGTGGAGCTCCCTACAGCATGGAACAGCGGCGCGAAATTTTGCAGCATCAATACGGCATTCCTTGTTCGGCATAGCCGCAGGTATGCTCTCGACCCGATTGTGCACCAGACAAAAAGCCGCATTCAGCCACGGTTTGTGCATCCAAGTCGGTCCCAAACCCTGCTTGCCCACTCTACAGGAGGAGCGCGAGATGAAAGTCATCCTCCAGTTGATCAGCGAGAAGGCAGCGCAGAAGCCCGCTCCTTAGCCCAGACCTCGAAACCAGGTGCTCGTTTACTGGTGTCGTTCAGGTTTAGGTCGAATCGCCGTTCTCATTCTGTACGCAGGATGTCTGTGTGCTTGGATACTAATTCTGAGCCCAGCTGACGTGCCCGTTTGAAGGTTCAATTCCATCCGCAGTGCCCTCCGGCATTTGGATGCCGACTGCGACGGAAATGTGGACCGTAGTGAGGCCACGGCTCTGGTCTTTGGTCTTCTGGATTCCCCGTTGAAGCAAAAAGCTGCACAACGGGCCCTTTGGGATCTTCTAAGGAGTGTCCTGTTCAAGGCTTTGGCTCAAGCTGGCTCAGGGCCTTGGATTCGCAACTGCTAGGGCAACTCGCTCAAAAACCACTTCCTGGAGACCTGGCGCATCCTGCAATTCTGAAGGACACACAGTCAATCATGCATGCTGAGGCGGAAGATCTGGACTTAAAAATAATCAAACCCCAGCTTTTCTGTGTTCCCTTCTCTGGTAGAAGGCAGGCTTTTCCATGCACAGATGTTCGCAGTTGAAAGACCTTGTCTATCATGCAGCTTCGCGGCTTCGAACATGTGTTGCTCGTTGTCAACTGTCATGCGGCTCTTCGGATCTGCCATGGGGCCGGGATCTGCATGGTTCCTCCACCTTCTGCCTGGCGGTTTGCAATGTGAGTTTCTGTGACCTCCTGCTTGAGGCGGGCACCTTGTCGTAGTTTTAGCACAGAGCCTCACGCTCGCAGGTGTTCGACACATTCAGTACCGCTTGTCTGCATCCTCGTTCCTTCGCTGTTTGTTTCGCTAGTCCAGTCTTGGCTTTCTGTTGGCTTCATCTGTGGCATTTCTACCTTGCTGTCTGAAGCGCTGCTTCCGTAAGCTTTCGTACCGTTCTGTAACTTTCTTCGGCCACATACCACTTGACGGCTGATGTGTAGTGCCAAAGCTGTGGCCATACCCTCTTACACCGCGGATGCTTCGCCGAGAACGCTACTGTTTGCAACCAATGTTCGAAGCCCGGAGACCATGCAGAAAGCAGCAGAAAGTCGTTCACCATAGTACAGATGCAGAGGTACGCCCGGATGACGACACGTGCTGCTGCCCGTCAAGCAGTGCGCTCTCAGTATTTCTTCGTAGCAAACGACGAGGAAGCCTTTTCTGTGCCTGCCCATGAGACAAGAATTCCGGTTCTGGTTTTCTTGTGTGCTTCTGAATCACTTCAAAAGACTGAGACTCTTCCGCCATTCTCATGCAGTAGAACTGTTTCGCATCTTCGGCTCAGGTCTTCGGGAGGCAAGAAGTGCAGGACATCAATACCATCCGTCAAGTCACGTGGTGAGGATTTGCGAGGGCCGGGCCGTGATCTCACATCGCTGTCACGAGTTTTCGGGGCCGATCAAACCTCAGGTGACAGATGTGGGATACCTGGTCTTCTTCTTGCTGGTCGTCTTGGTGATGGCTAAGCTTGACGCCGATGCAGTCTCCAAGGGAAACTGGGCTCTTCTTCAGGAGCTTCAGCGAAGCTGCCATAAGAAGGGACCATCTTATTTTGCCAGAGGTAACTTAAATTAAACGTACCATAACTAATAAAGTTGAATAAAGGAAACTATATTTTTTTGCTATAAGACCTTAAGATGGTAACTTTCATAGCCAAGTTCCATAATATAACCCTAAAAAGAAGCCGTCATAGATCCCTCATATACGCAAACCTTCTAAAGGTCACTCAGAACCCTAAACCCTAAACCCTAAACCCTGAACCCTATAAACCTAAACCCTAAACCCTAAAAATTCCTTAAAAAAGCCCAGGAAATGTCTTGAGGCTCTCCGAGCCGATCGACTTTCAGGGTCGGCTCTGTGGCTACGATGACGAGGCCGATCTGAATCCGAAGAAGTCACCTTAAAGGAGCCCTCAAAGCAACCCGTGCAGAAAACGGAAGCCTTGAGAGTTTCGGAGATATCGGGTTCAGTCTGGGCAGGTGCTAGAAGAACATTATTTATGTCTATCGCTGTTCAGCAGCTGCTTTTGATGCCGGTAAGATCTAGGGGCTCGATCAGGTGAAGGACAAGCCCCTGGGCTACCATCCGAACCCGTTCAACGACATGGTCATTTGCGTTTCAGCCTGCCCGCAGACGGCCACCGATGGCACTTTCACCTTGCCCGATGGCCCCATGGGGAAGGACGGGCTGGGGATTAATCGTCTGTGTTGCGAGGCAGCTATTTTTGCAGCGGAAAGTTGGCATGTCAATGAGTTTTTGGCACGAACACTCTGCACATGAGAGTGCACGGGGGCGGAAAGGAGCACACCCGGCCAGCCTACCCGACGGACAATATCTATGGTCAGCTGTGCTTGCCCTTAGATTTGGAGCTTGCACGCCTCATTATCTCTGTCAAGAGTGTCCAGACGGAGATGTACAAAGCCCTAGGAGTGATCTTCACATCCTCACACGGCATTTTAGTTGTGCTTGCGGTGCCTTTCGTGACATCCTTCATCTACCTGATCGCTCTTTACTATATCCCCACTGCTGCTACCACCTTGGCCTTCTCCATCACGGCCGTTACTTTGGCCTTGGTCGGAGTGCTCATGGATCTTGACCTGAGTGTCATGAAGGGCATCGACCTCTTCAAGGAGACGCACCCCCTGATGCTGATGGCCTTCCCCTACTTCCGAACCTGCTGCTACCTGTCCAGCTTCTTATTCTTCCTGGTCCTTGGCGCAACGATCTCAGCCATGGTGCGGGCGCATGCTGTCTTCCGAGAGTGTGTGGCTGCAATCTTTGATCCGAACGTCCTGGTCACCGTTTTCACGAGTGTGGCGCTGTCTGTCATTCGCATTGGCTTCATCCTTTACGTGTGCAGGCCTGTGAAGTCAGAAATTAGATAAGACTTAGATGAGAGCTGCAGCCAAAATTCCTATCACCGCGGTATTGCTGGCGTTACTGGAGTTGGGAGGTGGAGGAGTAATCTGGGATACGAACCACCTTCAGAACGTGTCAGAACTCGTGATCAAAGAGAGGAGAAGTGGGAAAGAACAGCAATATCAATTTGTTTCAACATGACTCCGGCGAGCCTGTCTTCGCCAGGCGCTTAGCGCTGCTCATGAGCATCGTGGAGCCCTACCAGGCGCATGTAGGGAGCAGCATTGGCTTTTGATACCTTTTCATTCTCTGTGATCCGAAGAATAGCAATTACTAGTTACTGTTACTCCTACTATTTCGGCTTCTGCTTCTACTGCTACGACGACGACGAACTTCTTCTACTTCTACTACTGCTGCCGCTGCAGTAACTATGACAGCAACAATTACTACTGCTGCTGCTGCTACTCCTCCTCCTCCGACGCCTCCTCCTACCCCCACTATATCACTACTACTACTACCACCACCACTGCTACTACGGCTACTACCACCGCCACGACGACGACGACTACGACGACGACGACGACGACGACTACTACCACCACTACTACTGCTACCACTACTTCGACGACGACGACTACTAC